CACATCAGGCATTCAGAATCAGGCCCCCCCACCTTCTGCAGGTGTCAGCAGTTTTCCCCTTCCTCCTCCTCCTCCTCCTCCTCCCTTTGTGCAGAGAAGTCTTCTCCTGGGGAAGGGCTGAGAAGGACCTCATTTAGGCTACAAGGAAAATGCTTCTGCCAGCAAATGAGAGAATATGGATAAATAAACCTTGGAGTATTTTGAGATCAGTGATTAACACTCCTATAAAACATGGAATTACATCCACTGACTTCTCTGGGTTATTGTTCTGCACTGGCCTAACTTTTGCCCTGTGTTTAATCTGAGTCCTTGAACTTCTGCTCCTTAAAAGAGCCAAAGTGTCTTGCCACAGTTTTTCTCTTAACCAGCAGTAATGTTCCTTTGCAGAAACAGCTTCACCTTTATTGATTCCTCGTAATAGCAGGGACTCAACCAAGCACCATGTTATTTATTAGGCTGAAAGGCACCAAGTAATTGTTGTTTTATAAGAGATGATCAAGTAAAGAGCTCTGAGTACCTTGGTTGGTGAGTCTAATAGAAATGTTCAGCTGGAACATGATAACTGCCTGCACTTTGTCCTTAGGATGCCAAACACTTGGGCTTTTGCTGTTTAATCCTTTTTCCCCCCCTGCTCTTCCTTTTATATTCCAGTTCTTGCATGCACAATGACATATATTTTTCCTTAATTCCCTTCAAAAACTTCTCAGGAAGGACAGATTATTTCTGGAGGGTTGGTATGGATTTCATATTGTCAAAGGTGCTTTGTGTAAAAGAAGATACAAACCTGATAGGAGCAGTTAAACATTTCCAGAGCTCAGGAATGAGGGATATTGCCTTGAAGTACCTCAGGATGAAACTGGAGGCTGTCTCCATGCTCAGCCAGGCCTCATCTTCAGATTAGAGACTGCTAATAAAAATGCTTGTGGGTTTTTTTAATGCAAATTTATGTGTTCTGGGGCCTGGGCTGAGCCTCCCCAGCTCACCTGCCTGCAGGGACAGTCAGGTCATTGCAGGGGGAAGTTCTGGCCTCTGTCTGCAGTGGGTTGGGCTGAATCAGAACTGTTAATTCATGTGCAAGAGTGTCACTACCCCAGAGACTAATCTGCTCCTACAGGTGACATTGTCACCTTCCCCTCTGCCAGCAGTGAGCTCTGCTCGGTGAGAGCTCTGCTCTGTGTGAGCTCTGCTGCACATGGAGCTCTGGAGATGCTCTTTCCACTGACCTTCTGCTCAAAACCCTGAGCTGTCCTGAGCAGCCATAGGCAGGAGCCCCTGGGATCTGCACTGGGATGCTGCTGCTCTTCTGGCATTTGAGGGAAGTGCTAGGTCTCTTCTCTAAAGCAGATGGAATCCTGCAGGAAACAGTCCACGTGCGATTAGCATTTCTTGGTGCTGAAATGAATGTGGTGCTCTGTCTCTTCAGGGCTGCAGAGGAGGAAGTGAGCCTTTTAGAAGCAAGTCCAGCATCTTTGAAGCTTTGAGAAATACAGACTTCAGATAAAAAAGAGGGAAGAAGGGAAGAACATGTGGGATAAGGCTTTGATAGGGTGCTGGAGGCAGGATCCAGGGCCCAGGAAGCAGGCAGGAGTAGAAGGAGGATGGTGCTTCTCAGCTCAACGAGGAGCTGAGCTGCAGAGGTGAAGCAGATGCTTTTAAACAGAGTTCAGCATGTTTGAGTGAAGCCTGGATGGCTGAGGGAAGATCTCAGACTAACGAAGTGCTTAAAATGAAAACTTAGGAGCAGAGCTTGCAAATGCAATCACCTTTGACTTTCCTCTTGCATTGCAGAGTTCAGTAGTTCCATATTGCAGACAGTAAAGAATATCAGGGAGTGAGTCATCTTTGCAGCTATTTGCTCCTAAATAAAGGTGTTTTTTAAAATTTAAATTATTATTGTTTTGGTGCTTGGTTGCATTTGCAGGTCAGGACTGATAAAAGATACACCATGATACTATTGAACACACTTTAGTAATTTTACCTGGACGATGAAGTATTCCTTCATAGCCTAAGGAAATTTTAAGCTTGAAGGAGGAGTCTGATATGTGTCATGTATCATTCCTGTTCCATAGTGGTCCTGTGGATGTCTGGAGGGGTTTTTTTGGGTTTGCATCTGGATTTCCTGTAATGTGCAGTAGCAGGACAGGCAGTGAGTGTGCAGGACTGTTGGGCAGGGGATGGCTGTGCTGGCAGCACCTCTGGGAGGATCAACTCACCTACCCCAGCTGATGGAGGGTTTCTTAAGGATCAAAACATGGGGTAACTGGGACTGGGAGCTTAGATACTGTAGTTCCTGGCCATACTGGTGTGTGTCACCAGTACCTGCACTGCCTGTTGCTTCAGTTCAGTGTATTTCTAGGTCATTCAGGAGTGGTTTGTTTGGCCCTGAGGCTGTCCCTTCTGCCTTTGGGTCATGGCCACACTGTGGCTTTCACTCCCCAGTGGTCTGTGTGAAGAGCTCATCACCCGAGGGAAGTCTGGTTACTCCTCGGTGTCATGTTCTTCAGCAACAGAGAGAGAGAGAAGTCAAGGAATCTGCCTATCCCTGCATTCCTCTGCTCCTCTGGGAAGCTAATTTCCCACCAGACTGTCAAGTGTCATTGAAGTCCGGTTGAGAACCACTTGGCCTGTGGCAGCTCCAGATGTTTGTGGTGTTTACACAGCACAGCTGTCCCTGTGCTCTGAGCACTTTGAAGCCCATCCAGCTCCAGCTGGGGGTCGCATGGGACAAGCCCCACTGGAATGTGACCCTCCTGTCAGCAGCTGGGTGATTCCTGCCTGTGCTGAGCTTTTGGGCAAGTTGTTCATCCTAACTGTGATAAATGTAATTGTTTGCTGGATGAATTTGAACAGCAAAGCAGAGCTGTGGGTTAAACTGCACTTCTGGGGGTGCTTACCCTGGTGTGCTCATCTGGAGTCACAAGGGAAGCACATCCAAAGCAGGTGGAGTTAGTGGTACTTTCCCTCCCTGGCAGCCAAAAGCAGCACTGAGGTCTTTTGGGGCCTGTTGATGGTATTTTGAAGAAGAGTTGTGTTAGGTGTTTCATGCTTTTATTGTTACTTATTTTTAAAGCTTTTTAATATATATTCAGCCATTTCTTTTAGTGCCATACCTAAGTTGCTCCTTGGGGAATCCTATTCCTTCCTTTCCCCCTTCCTAGTCTTTTTTACTACTGCTTATTTGCTTGCTTTCTTCTCTTACCTGCAGCTTTATTTAATGAGTTTGGACTGCTAGAAATCATTCCTGAAGCAGAAGCCATAAAAGCTCTTACAGCCTTAGGAGTAGATGCCAGCCCACCCAGCATCGTTCCTGCTGCTGTCCACACTTCCACTGCCTCTCTCCCTGCTTTGGAAGGTGAGTGTTGTACATATATAGAGGAAACAGGTCAAAGTGAAGTGTGTGTTTCAGTACCTGGTGCTCCCTGGTGTAAGGTCTGTCTTAGCAGTGCTGGATCCCTGGTCAAGGCAGAGCTCCATCCTGGAACTCTTACATCCTTGTGGAGGGAATTTCTTCTATGAGGAGAGTATGATCTCTTGTCTTGTTGCCATCCTGGACAAGCATCTCTCAGGTGGCTTCCCCCAGGATTTTGGTGGAACTATTTCTGGTTTTGAGTTGGAAGACTTTGCACCTGAACTTTTCTTCTGGCTATTCTCATCTGGAATTTCACTGTAAGACCCACAGGTTCACTTACAGGCTCACACCCCTGCTGGGTCCTTCTCCTTGGCTGCACAAGCTGAGCAGATGTCAATCCATCAGTCTTACATGGACACCTCAGCACTAAGAATTTTTCACACCCTTTTACTCCAAGTATATCCCATGAATCAGTGTGACTCCTGATGGAGCAGAGCTCTTCAAGCACTCTTGGTTCTTGCAAGTCTTCCCTGGTTTGTCTTTTCCTTCGTGGAATCATTAAGTCCCTGAGGGCACAGGGCCTTTAAGCTGTAATACAATCAGGCATGTGTGGCCTGTGTTGTGTAGGCAGTGAGTCTGCCCAAATCCAGCCAGGACCATCCAACATCCCCACGGAGCAAATACACATGAAAAATATCAGTTGGCTTAGCAGGAGGAGTCCAAGTGTGGAGACTGAGAATGGCTTTAAATAAACAGCCAAGTGACTCATAACTCTGTGTTCTGGGTTGTGTGAAGCTTTGTGGTTTTTTCTTTTCAAGTGTTTAATGGTGCATTCAGAACTGGATTGATCAAACCAGTGCCCACGAGCAGTGCCACTAATGCAGAGTAGGAGCCTCCGTGCACGATTTCCATGTCAGATTACTTGGGCAAATTATCCATCAGCACAGTGCAGGTGCCTGGCACTGAGTGTCACCACAGCTGTGTTTTATGAAATTACAAATTAATATGCATTAGGAAGAACTCAAGTCGTAGGAGAAAGTAAACAGAAATGATATATTGGAGTTATTTCTTACATTTTCATGCTCTCGTTCGGAGGAAAGATCAATAGATATCCCTTGCTGGGTATGGAAATTATTGTTTCTGTTGTCCCATCAATAATGTGCTGGTTTTAGGGGCTACCTATGAGGGATTTTCTTCTGTACAAAGTATATATAAAGGCAGAAGCTTTTAAACTTAACCAACTATATTAAAAATATCTGAACAAGTTGGACTCGTTTGACATTTGTCTTTCCTGTTAGAAAGGAATAAATTCCTGGTGCTAGGAATAAAGAAATACAATAAGATTTGTAACTGTGTCCTAGATACAGCTTTGAGATTATATCCTCCTTCATCACTTTTACAGGGACAGAGTTTCTCCAGAATGAAAATATTACAGATCAAAGGGGTTTTTCCTCCATGAGGTGCTGTGCCAGCGCAGAGATGAGAATTACCTCCCTCACTATGGGATCCTGAGGGCCACTCAGTGAAGCACTTTGACATAACTCATTGCCTGAAAAGTGTTCTAACATTTTAATTTGATAGTTGTCTTGTCTTTGTTTCCACAGTGCCCAGACAAGGTGTGCCCTGCTCCGAATCCCAAACCTGTGTGCAGATGGATTGCTTTGAGAATGGAAAGTTTTGCACTCAAACGAGCTCCCAGCAGCACAGGGACAGGTAAAGAAACCCCAGATATCCCTCCTGGTGTGTATTTAAAGGGAACATTGTGGTACAGAACAGTGTTGCTGTGAGCAGAATGAACTCTTCAGAGCAAGTGTTGTGCTATATATCCACCAAATCCTGCAGCCACGATTTGCCTCCTCAGGCTCTCAGCCCAGACCTCCTCGTTCTTCTGGAGAGGTCCAGAGGCACTGGGAATGCTGCAGGAGTAGTGCTGCACTTTGCATCTGATCCTGTTTTCAATGTTGGATGTTTAATGATAGCAGAGACATTCCAGGTGGTTGCAGAAACAGGGCAAATAATAGAAATCTTGCTCCCAGCAGTGGCTGTCAGGTGGCTGAGGCTGGCAGACCTGTCAAACGCCTCCGGAGGAAGAGGAGACTGCCTCTGGAGTCAGAGGATGAGGAGGAAAATGCATATGAAGATGAGGTAAGTGAGGCTGTCTGTGTTTTCTTTCGAGAAAGCTGTGAAAAGCAGGGGCAGTTGTTTGTCTCAGATTCCCCCTGTGCAATGCAAACTGAGCTGAGGGAGGTTGTTCTGTACCCAGAGTGGTTCTGATTTCCATCAGTGCTGGGAATATCTGAGCTCTGAGCAGCAGTAGGGGTGAATGGATAGCTCATGAGAGGTGAGAGTCAGGATTGGAGACTCTTAACTTTACAGGTGTAGCTATAGCCCTGTGCACTATGTGTATTTCACGGGAGCAAAACCACAAATATTTTGTCTCCAAAATACTTGATCTAGCTGCACTCAGGTGCTGTTATGGGAGATCAGTGTCAAACCACAGAGCTTGACTGGGTTTCATTAGGTACTTGCATGTACATTCCCTGCACTGCCAGGCACCTGCATTAATGGTGGAGAAACACAAGTACCTCAGTCCTGAGCTGATCTTTTCTTCACTTTCCTGAAGCAGCTGATTCCCTTTTGGGCCCTTTGTGCAAACCTGAGCTCTGCTGACACAATCACAGCATCTCCCTGAGCCATTTCTCTTCCCCTCCTGCACATGATTCTGCACAGCAGAGCCACTGGGGTAGGTGTTGGTGGGTAATCAGGCTGAAACCTCTGATGTCATGAGCAGTTTAACTCATCCTATTGCTCAGCTTTTCCCTGTGATGCCTGTAAGATGTTTTACAGGACAGCTGTTTTCAGAGGTCATTGCATTCTGTCTCTTCCCCCTTCTCTTCCTCCTCCTCCTCCTCGTTAGAAACTGCCTCACTGTCCCTTCTGGGGCATGTCCAGCAGGAAGTTTTGCATTGCACATTTTGCCTTTTTTTTTTTTTTTGCTTGGAGAAATGACAGCCCAAAGGATTAAACCTGAGTTTGAAGAGCACACAGAAGGAGTGTGGATAGCAGTCAGGCTCGGAGTGTGACTCAGGGACACTGTGTTTTCTGGGGTGTTCATCTCTGACTGTAGTTCCTTGAAGCTTCTGCTTCCTTCAGGGCTTCAGCAATGACTTTGATTTCCCTATATCCATTCCCTGGCATGGATGGGCATAAGAAAGGGAAAGGAAAATGAAGTGTTCCTGTAAGGCTGCTGATGTGAGCAGCAAATCCTGCTGCTGCAAAAAGCAAATCCTCTGTATTGTGATGGAGATTTTGGGCCTGTGCTGCTCCTCAGCAGCCACACTTAAATGAACCTCAGCAACATGTCTTAAATAATGTGTGAAGCACTTTGGGATACCACAAGATCAAAGTTCTCTCTGTAACATTCCCTACTGATGTTCTTGCAGGATTTTTCAAGAGACAGTAATGCTGGCTAATAGTCCTGTTAGTTACCTGTTCCAGCCTTGTTGTACCTGCGTTGGTGAGATGATCAGAGGGAGGGAAAACCAATCTTGCTAAACTTCTTTTTAACGTATCTGTGTCTAGGAGAAGAATAAATCAAATAATATGAAAAGCCGCAGAAACACTAAACCAATAAAACAAGGTGAGCTAAGCTCATAGTCTCTTTTCTTGAATGTTTATAGATTTTATTTAGTAGCTATTATAAAGTGAATAATAACAAACAGCAGAGGAAAGGACAGGAGAGCTCATTTCACCTTCAGAATAGCTTATTAGGTACATAACCCTCTTAGCACAGTCAGTCTCTGGGAGGTATTAGCAGGAAGATCCTGGATTTGCCTGTGTGAGGATCTGGAAGGAGTCAGCCTGATCCAAAGCTCCCTGAAGACAATAAGAATCTTTTTTCCATTGGCTTTGGAGAGCTTCACAGCCACAGCCTACAATGCTCACTAGAAAATAAGTTGTAAACAACATGTGATGGATTGACTCGGGGTTAAATATATTCCATACCTGCAAGGAGGCAGCAGGTGTAACTGGGGGAGATGTTTAATATGCATTTAAAATGTAATTTTCTGTGTGTATGACTGTGGTTCTACTAGACTGAATCCAAGTTGTTTTCATCATCTGGGAGCTGCCTCTCTAGTAGATGCATTGTGTTATTAGCAGGTTATAAATATATGTGCGTGTATATGTTAAAAAAAATAATCTGGTGAGCTGAACAGAAATTCACTTGGTTTTTCATTTATTTTAGGTCTATTTCAGCTGCAATTATATCACTCTCTGTGCTTGAAGCTTATGTTTAACCCATTATTCCTCAGTGAAATATCAGGAGAAGGAATTAATTTCCACCATCTTCAGTCGCTCTGTCTTGCCCAGACTTCCCAGTGGCACCTTTCCATGGGCAGCTTGGCTGCAATCCTGGTGCCACAATTCATTTGACCTGTGATACCATAAATTGACACTTAATGAGGAATGAGCATGGTTTTCCTATTGCTGGAATTCCTGCCTTTCCTCAAAAGCTGGATAACACTGCCTCCTTTGGGATACCACAGCAAAGCAGCTGGGGGGAGTATGGGAGGAGAAGAGTGGGCAGAGAGAGGGAGGTACTGGAGAGAAACACTCATTTTCCTCTTTGTCTTTGATTAATTAGTGCTTCCTGGAAAGAAGAAGGTATGGAACTGGGTTTCCTACTTGGAAGAAGAACGGATGGCAGCTGCTCCCCTAAAACTGTTCCGAGAGGTTGGCAGCTTTTTCCACTGTCTTGCTCTGTTTTTCTCAGGCACCAGCACAGCATTCCTCGCTCGGTGGAGGTGGGATTGGAGACCACCCTCAGGCTACTGCCATTTCTGAGCTGTTCCTGTGCAAGCAGGCAGTGAAACCCCCACGGGTTTGCCTCCTGCCCTAAAGCACTGTGGAAATAGTCATCTGCCCTGGGAGTCTCATCCCAGACCAGGAGGTGGAAAAATGCTGGTTGAGTCTCACAAATAAACAGTGACTGCTTGGATCTGCTTTGGTCTGGATAAATGGGCTGTTAGGCAACCTCCAAATACTGTTGGAGAGGAATAGCTTAATGTCTTTCATATGTCCTGTGCCTCATCTGTGGTTGTCCAGCATCCCTTCCAGCCTTCCTCTGTGGGAAACCACGAGTCAGTCAGCTCTGGGCATGGTGTGGATGTCTCAGGGAGTGACTGTTAGGAGGGAGAGTGGAAGTTGTATATGTTCACAGATGGCAGAGGGTAAGTTCAGCCTTGGTGAAGCTGTTTCTGCACCCCAGAGCATCACCAGCCCATGTTCAGCATTCAGCTCTCAGTGAGCTCCTCAGAGCCAAGGGCTGTTGGTCCTTGCAGAGTGAGCTGAGAAGGAAGGTCAGGTCCTGCACTGGGTCAACAAACCATTGGCAATCCCAGCTCAGGTTTCTTTGAAGCCTTTACTATCCTTCAGATGGTTCATTTGGATTAAGACTGCAAATAAATGAAAGCCACCAATGTGTAACTGGGCTCCAGGTCAAACCTGCCTTGGCCCTTTCCCCATTTGAAGATGACAAGTTACCTTTGGGGGGAATCTGGACTGACACAGACACAGTGATTATAGCTCTCCTGGCTCTTTGTTTCTGCATTGGGCTAGGAAAAGGATTCTTTAGTGTTTGAGAAGAGCTGATTTCTGCATCTGCTCCGAGATTTGTTCATAGCTAATTGCAACAGTCTCAGGGGTTGGTGTTTTTGAGAGATTAATTAGAATAACAAGTGAATGTGAAATACAGTGATTGTACCATTATTGATCCCTGTGCCTGCACCTGTCTGTTAGAGCAGCAGTCACTGGGGGATAGAATCTTCTTGAGCGGAAAATTTGAAGCCTTAAGTGTGTCTGATGAGTGCTCTGCAATAGATTTTGTCTTTAGGAATTAAAAGCAAATGTTTCTTCCCCTCTCACAGTATCAGTCCTTCCCACAAGGCCGAAATGGATTTAAAGTTGGAATGAAATTGGAAGGGCTGGATCCTGAGCACCCCTCTCGGTTCTGTGTTCTCACAGTGGCTGAGGTAGTTGCTTTTCTTGTCTTTGATTCCAAAAGTCTCACATACATTCAGGAGTTTTTCCAATGTAAAGTAGAAACGTGAGCATAATAGTACTTAGTTAATTAATGGTCAGGAGAGTTCAAGGTGACACTGAAGGAATGATGTTCTGTGGTGAAGGATCTCTGCCTGAAATCTTCCTGTCAGATCTTTGCATTTGTGCCTCAGAGTTACAAAGCTATTAATTACCTCTAATGAACAATGCAATGAGGCTCTAAGACTTGGTAAATATAAGCAGGTCGGAATGCTTTGATGCTGCTTCAGTTGTGTGGAATCTAAAGTTCTGGGGCTGCATTTGTACCCCAGATATTGCCACACAGCAATGTGTGCATGGCATGGAACAGGAGGGCAGGGAGGTTACACTGACCTGTTTTGTGTTCAGCTGTTTGAAGGGAGAAAAGAGCATGGAAACTGGGAGAGTAACAGGAAAAATAAAGCTGGAGTTTTGAGGAATAAATGAGAACCTAATCTACTATCTAGAAATGTAAATATAGGAGTGTTTGGTGAGTGATTTTCTTTCTGCTCCTGTGATAATCAGAGCTTCCCTCACTGTAGGTCCAAGGGTACAGGATACGACTGCACTTTGATGGTTACCCAGAGTGCTATGACTTCTGGGCTAATGCTGATTCCTCAGACATCCATCCTGTTGGCTGGTGTGAAAAAACAAGCCATAAGCTGCTCCCTCCTAAAGGTATGGAAAAAAAACGGAATGGTGTACAAGAAACCATAAATTCTACTAAGAACTAGTTGTCCTGGCTCTGCATGTTTCATTTCTAATGTGATTTCATTGTGGAACTCGATCTGAGAGGCTAAAGGGAAGAGGTGTAAGTAGCAGAGTGACTCACAAAAGAACAAAGCAGCTTGTTTTTGCTATTCCCAATGATTGACATTGTTAGTCAGATTAGAAATTCTTTATTGCATGTCCCTCTGGGGCTCAGGACTCACTTCTTCCCTGCATTCAATTTCCTGGAAGCATAGGAAGGTTGAGATTAATGATTGGCCATTATAGTGAGAAGGGGAGAGGTGGTTTAGCTGAAATGCACAGCCCCTGAGGTCTGCAGCAGGGCAGTTAGCATGCAAAGTTCCTATCCTTCCAGGTAATTGCCATTCCTGGAAAACCCATCAGAATGTTCTGTGCAAAACAATCTTCTCCTCTCTCTTCCTAGGTTTCAAGGAAGGAGATTTTAATTGGACTTCCTATTTGAAGAACTGCAAAGCTCAAGCAGCTCCTAAAAGCCTTTTTAAGACCCTCAGCACTGTAAGTGGTGGTGTGGAAGAAAAGGTGTTGCAGCTACCTCAGGTGCTAAGTGAGCTTTGGCCAGAATACTTAGGTGGATTTAATATGCTCATGCCAGAGGAGCAACCATGGTGCAATCAGATGCAAACTACTTCCTGCTGTGATTTATTTCTGAAATGGGAAACTAGTACAATTTTTCTTCCTTCCCCCAGTCCAGAGGAAGGATTTGTATTTCCTTTCCTCCTTAATGCTGGAGGAAAAGATTTACTGATCCATTTGTTAAATCTATTACACACGTCTGTTTCGCTCTGTCCCTACAGTCAACACATTTGTGTCACTTTCCTCTCATTGAATCATTTCCAAAATAATTCCTGCTTTCCAGCAGTGTGCTCATGGGTGCCTTGGGATTCATTATGGGGCTATGGATCTTGGGTATTTTTCATCCTTCACCCACTGGTGCTTTCTCTGTGGTTGTTAACCTCAGTTCCTGTGTCACCTTCACTCCCATATTGTGTCAATCCCATGATACACAGCCCATGGGTGGTGGGTTGGATGGTGCAGAGGGACAAGCACTGACTCCAGGAGGATCAGGGTACAGCTGCTTCCACCTAGTCACCAGTTTTCCTTGAAGACTCTCCTAACTCTTCCCCTAGTAAGACAAGACCTGCAAGGCATTTCCCTCATCTATACCCCTCACTGCAAGGCTTGTGTGTCTCAGCCTGCGAGTCTAGTGGTGGGTGTAGCTCAAAATGCTTTTTTTTACCCTATATCAGCTCTTTCTTAGCACTAGTAACAGCCATTACCAGAACACATGGAAACCTTCTCTGCAAACCTCTTCCTAGTAACTACAGTATGTTTTGGTTTTTTGGTTTCGGCGTTACAACCTCCAGCAAATGAGTTTACAAGTGGAATTTCAGTGGTTTGCCCAAGTATGTGGTTGATTTCCTCTCCTGATGTCCTGTTCTCAGCCTGTCACACCCTCTGGTTTTCGTCTGGGGATGAAACTCGAGGCAGTGGACAGGAAGAATCCGTCGCTGATGTGTGTGGCAACCATCACAGACATAGTGGATAATCGTCTGCTGATCCATTTCGATAACTGGGATGAGAGCTACGACTACTGGTAAAGAAATTCCACCTCTGAGACATGTCTGCAAGTACACTGTGGGTCATTCCTCTCCTCCACTAAGGGTAATAGCTGATGTTCTAAATGCAGGCACTAGAGTTGGAATCTTCAATCAGTTTTCAGACAGCTGAATAATGACTGGGTTTTCACTCAGAGTAGCAGTGTTACTTACTAAGTTAACTACTTAGTTACTTACTAAGAGTAAGCCCAGTAGTTTCCCCACCTGTTTGCTGGTCAGAACCAGTGGAGTTAGCTTGAGCTGCTTGGGAAGCACTGGAAGTAAGAGGCATTCTTCCAGTGCCTAAAGGGGCTCCAGGACAGCTGAGAGAGACTTTGGACAGGGCCCTGGAGGGATAGGACAAAGGGAAATGACCTTAAAGTGAAGGAGGGAAGGTTCAGATTAGAGATTAGGAAGAAATTCTCCCCTCTGAGGGTGCTGAGGCACTGGCACAGGTTGCCCAGAGAAGCTGTGGCTGCTCCATCCCTGGAAATGTTCCAGGCCAGGTTGGACAGGACTTGGAGCAACCTGGGCTGGTGGAAGGTGTCCCTGCCCATGGCAGTGGGTGGAACTGGATGATCTTTAAGGTCTCTTTCAACCTTAAACCATTTTATGAGTTTTCTTTGTATTTCCCTATCTTGTGGGGCAGCTTGAACACCTTGAAAACTTGGCACGACACATTCTATCGAGGTAATGCTTGTCATGATCACAGCCACTGAAAGCATCTGCTCAGCCAGCAAAGGCCTCTCAGGCAGCATTTGAAATCCTGCATTTCTTTCTGCTCTGAATCTGACTGGTGCCAACTTTTCCTCTTTGATTCAGGTGTGAAGCAAGCAGCCCCTATATCCGTCCTGTTGGCTACTGCCAAGAAACTGGAACCCCTCTGACAACACCACCTGGTATGTGGAAACTGAGACTTGCTCCCTGCCTCAGCTAAAAAACCTGCAAGCTGCACCTTCCACATAACTACATAGCTGCAAGTTCCAGTTTGCATTCAGAGCTCTTTCCTGACTGAACAATATGATTGTTTGTACTTTTTTTTTGCCACTGAATTTTATGTTGTTGCCTAGTTCTTTCAAAAAATGGTGATTTAGTCTTGAATTGGATTTCAGAAAGGAAAGAGCTTTGAAGGATTTTCAGCATTTCAGAAATGAAATTTAGAAAGAGGAATCAGTGTCATGATTTCAGAGATGGAAGTTCTGGGAGTGAAGGAGTAACTGAAGCCACATCTCTTTCTGCTGCACTGGAATGCAGTAAATGAAAAGAATGTTGGCAAATGAGTAAGGACAGAATGTACAGGAAAACCACTGATGTTTTCAGGCCTTGGAAGTGCTCATTCACCTTAAAAATAACAAACCTAAAAAAATGAAGTTTGCCATTTGCTAGACTGACAGCCCTGGAGCAAGAATTCCTGTAATTACTCGGTG